CTCCATATTCCTCTGCCCAGGATTTTACAGGCCCTGCTGCAGGTACAGTGCAGGTTATAAAGTATATGTTATAAAGTATGTCTTAGCTGATTGCAATGGAAGTTATAAAGTATGTCTTAGCTGATTGCAAATATATGTTATATGTTATAAAGTGTGTCTTAGCTGATTGCAATGGAAGCAGTGTGGATATATCTTTAAATTAGATGTAGTCAAGGAGAGTCTACTTTCTCTTTTCCTCTCAGTGTGCTCTTTATGCCAAAATCATCTAAGCAGGACTTTAGCATCTGTGAAGCTGTGCCAGTGCAGACCTCTGTCATTTGAAACCTGCTTACAGCACTCTACTCCAAATAACTTCTGATGCTGAGACAGTACATTGCTAGCAGGGATTTGCAGAACCCAGGGCAGCACCAATGCAACTATTTCTGGTGTGTGAAAGCTCAAGGGAGTTAAACCCTGAAATATGCTGGAGGAAATCTTAAACACTGAAAGAAGAGGGCAAAAGTAGCATTCCTTGTGTGCCCAAAGTGAAAAAATAATGGATATCTGGGGTACACAAGCCATTTGGAATTGTTCTGATCTTCTTTTTTAATTGCTGCAGGTTTTTTTGTGCTGGTGCAATGCGCAAATATAGCAAAATATGTTAATGGTAAACCATAATATTTACAGTTGTTGTTAGCTCTTATTGCAATCAGTAGGATTTTTTTCTAATGTCTTTACCCTGGAGATAATCCATAGAATAGAACATCAACGCATAGTTAAAAATAAAAATTATGGAAAACAGCACCTCTGCATATGCAATATCTTCATTTTAAAGTTACATAATTGAGCTTTTGAAATTAACAAAAAATTAGCAAACAGTCTCAGAACACAAGAGCAATAAGTGACTTTAACATCATCTTAAAACTTGCCTCTTTACTAAGATAAAAAATTCTCTCCTAATTCAGTACAAAATAAAATAATATAGATTTCAGTCTAATGCAAATCCAAAAGGAGCTTTAAGACCTCTGGGAAAATGTAACTTTAGAAAAATTCTTCTAAGAGTTCATGGAGTTTGCTTTGCATGAGGAGTTATCTTGTAGACCAAACACAGGCTAATAATTTAAAGACAATACTTAGATCCATTATGTCATGCTAGACAAAGCCTGTTTCTATGTCTTCTTTTCACTGTTGATGACATGGTTAAAAGAAGACTTTAATGCCACTTTAATACAGAATGTTTGTGAATTGCAGCCATGTCTTTTGATGGAAGGAACTATAACAGATTATTAGCTACTATTCTAATTGTATTTATCAGAGTGAGTTTTCCTGCTAATGCCTGGGCTCAGAACAGAAGTCCTTCCATAGACAGCTCCTACTGAGAGTTTCTCTGATAAAAACCAGCAGGATTTGGGTCATTTAGACTTAATCTGCTAAATTCAACCCTGTGGCATTTCCCTGATACTCAAGGAAGGGTACTGGGGATTGGCAAGGAAGGCTGTATTCCGATAAAGAAGGGATGGAAAATTTATATTCGCAGAATTTGCCGACACTTTGGGATGGTCCCTTAAGACAAGAGGTTGCCTAGTGAGGGTGATCTGAGCTATGCTAATTTGGCAACCTGTATTTTTGAAGTAAAACATTCCATGACGAATGACCTTATTTTTTTGTTTTTAAAACTGTGAGGTGCTTATGCAATAGCCTCCTAAGGTAGAAAGAGACAGATGCCGTGGAATAATAATCAGCCTAATTCTTGCTGAAAATCTCTGCAAAAATCTTTCTCCTTTTCCTCCTCTCCTTTCACAGGGAAGCTGAGTATCACCTTTCCCACACAAAGACATGCAGCAACAATTAGGGGCCTCTGCATAGGTCAGGAATCCTTCCATTTCCAGAGATAATCTTGGTTTTGTTCCCTTTTAAGATGTAGGTTTTGTTTGGGTTTGGGTTGCTTTTTTTTTTTTTTTTTTTTTTTAAGCTTTTAAGGAAGAAAAGTTGTCAGTTTTTACAAAAACTAACAGCAAAAATAAGACTTAAGTTTTCCTTAAAATAAGAGAGACGCTTCTGTTGCAGAAGACATCCCTTGCAGAAGACTGTTCCAGCTGACATGAATAGTCACATGTGTCCAAAAGCTAAGGTCTTCACTTCTATCCAGAGCCTGAGGTAAGCTGGGCTGCAAAAACACCTCAAACCTGACTCAAAATGAGCAAAATCCGTGGGCTGTGTCTGTGGTGAGAAGGACCAGCACAAGTCCACACTTAAACACATTGCCAGAACCTCCTGTTTTGTGAAGACAGAGGAAATTCCATTACTGGGCAGAGATGGCAGGGCACTGCCTGGGTGCTGCTTTAACCCCTGCTTTTAGCCACTATATCCCAACATGCTAAAATATCCTTTTTGTTCTGTTTAGAGTGGCCATTTTCTGTAGTGAGCAGTCAGTCCTCTACTCTTGGCTAAGAAAAGAAAATAATAGATAACATTGCATTTCAGAGTTTATAACAGGGAAAAACATGTTTGGACATGGAGGGGAGTAAGGAAGAGAGAGCAGATACCTGGTCTGTGCAGGTGTTAACATATATGTCCCCTGCTGTCACACAAAAGCAAAAATACAACTCAGAGGTTGGTGAGCTGAATCATAAGGTATATTGGGCATCCTGTGAATTGGTGGTGAAAGACTCATCACCTTCCATCCAAGCTGCCTTTAAGTTACATTTTGCAGTCTCTTTGATTTCCCTCTAACAGTCAGAGACGAGAGAGTAGGAAACTCAGTGTACACAATCAGTGGGGGGAAAAAAAGAACCTACAGAAGTGAGAAATGTAGACTGTTTGGCATCTCTAATATTTCCTTTTCTATACAAAGATTTTGGTTTGCCTAAGCTATAGAAGAAAACAGAAGCAGTCTATTTTAATCTTCCTGAGCGAAGAACGCTGCAGGGATTGCTCTGTTATCCCCAGCAGCAGCCCTGACTTTTCACAAAAAAAGGCTCCATCCAACCTTCTATCTATCTCTCTGAAACAGAAAGATCATCATATGATACATCAGCAATCAGCTGTGTTCTTAATGCACTTCTCTTTGTGCATTTTGGCATGAAGCAAAAAACCCTACAATTCTTCCCCCAGTCAAACCCCACTGCGAAAGGAGCTCGGATAAGGAGGAAGTATTTAGTCTTATGCAGAGAAATTGATTCTTCAGTCTGTGTAATGACGTATGTTAGAAACTCTGTGCAGAAGCAAGGAAAGCCCTTGCCGAGATGATGTTTCTTACAGAGCCTTCACTGCAGGGAGTCACTCCTTAAAACACAGTGAGGTTGATTATGCATTTTTATTTGGGTTTCTTAGTGGTTTGACTTGAGGGATTCAAACTGTGCTGTTCTGGATTTACACCAATTGGCATGAGTTCAGGATCTGCCCCACTTCTTTTTTTAAACTCTAGCTATTTCATGATGAATAAGAGCCAGATCCTGCAAAGCCTTACTACCTGCATTAATACTCTGAGGAGCCCACTCACTTCCTCTAAGTTGTGATTGAAAAATTGAGTCTTACGGTGCAGTATTTTAGAAGCAAGCATATGCTTTTGGGGATTCAAGCATGCCTTGACCGTACCTATTCCTTTAATGGCCTTTCTTTCAACAGCAATACCTTCACTGATTTTCACAGAATAACATGATAGATGCTGAGCTGTTATGAGGTGGTGTAACTCTACTTACACCAGTGGAAAATCCAGCTCGACATTGTAGTTCTGCTTGTGTATTCAAAACAAACATGAGAGAGAAAGGTCCCTTTATTTAAATTGTCAAAAGAGAAAAGGAAGAGGTTTTGGGCTTGTGTACTTCATTTGTGTGCTTCATATGTACTTGTGTGTTGTGCACTTCAATTGTTTTGACATCACTATAACAAAGACAATAGAGACAATTCTAGGAAAGACATCTGATCTGGTTTTACTACTTATGTTAGTTTCTTTCCTATCTAGAAGAAGCCACAGCAGAAACTATGCTCCTTCTTCTTCTAACTTTACTAACTCTGGCTTTCAACCAGAAAATATCCCCCTGCTTTCCAAGTGCCGAAACAAAGGAAATTACAATACTGACTGCAGCTGTAATTACCAGCTGGTGAACTGATGGCATATACTGAATACATAATCCAAGATAATGTTGCTCTTCAATAGTAGCCCTTTCCACCTATAGTGCTGGAATGCTCATCCCTGTTTACTATACATTCATGCACACCCAATACATTTCAGTATCCAGTACTAGTAGTCAAGCTTTCTTCACTGAAGACGAGAGACCAGCAAAAAATACTTTGTCCTTTTGGAGAGCTGGATCAGTGTCAGATGCCATGCACAAAAAAAAAAAAAAAGCCCAAACCCAAAAAAACCCAAAAAAAAAAAAAAACCCCAAAAAAAAAAAAAAAAAAAAAAAAAAAAAGACAACCCACATGCGAGGGCGATAGGCACCCTAAATGTCAAACCTAAGTACAGCATCTGTATACATCACGTGCAATATAATGCACCCTTACATCAGCGAGGGCAGGAAAACCCCAGCTCACACCAGGGAGGATGGGGTTTTTTAGACAGATACCAGCAACTTAAGGCAAGCAGAAGCGACCACAACGCCGCTGTTCTTTGCGAGGCTTCTCCATGCCCGGGCTAAGCCGCACTCATCGTCGATCACGGACTTACTTATTTCTGACAGACAATGAGGGCACGATGCCGTGTGTGAGCACCGCGGGCGAGCTGCCCGAGGGGCTCCAAACGGGCTACAGACACTTCTCCACAGGAATGAGCGCAGTGAAGCGGGAGGCTGATGCGTCTTGGAAGCAGCATCCTGGCTCCTCTTTGCACTCTGCCTGCTCTCCCCGAGAACGCATCGAGGGAGGGATTCCCCACCCACCCACACACTGCTTCTCCCTCCTTGCGAGGCTGCAGGGGGGTATAACCCAGTTCCCGGCTGGATGCGGGCCCGGAGAGAGCCGCTACCCGCCCGCTCCCCGCCGCCACCCTGCCCGCCCCCTCTGCCCTTTGCACTTACTCCGCTCTCCGGCTCAGGACGCCTTTGCCGATAGCCTGGGGGGTCTTGTGCTGGAGCAGCGCGGCACAGCAGCCCTTATCCCTGCCGTCCTTCTCGGCGGGGTGCTGGTGGGGCTGCGCCGCGGGGTGCTGGTGGCCGGCAGCCCGCCCGCCGCCGCCGGGCCCCGCCGGTGCCGCTTTGCCCGCGGGCGGCGGCGGCTGAGCTGGGAGCTGTTGGTGGTGCTGAAGCGGGTCGGACTGGCCCGGCGGCGGCGAGGGCTGCTCGGGCGGGGGACCCTGGGGCGGCTCGGCGGGGGCCGCCGGTGGCTCGGCGGGGGCCGGCTGCTGCTGCTGCCCGCGGAGGCTGCGGTTCTCGGTGCTCAGCTCGTCCAGCCGCCGCTCCAGCTCGTCGATGCGCTGGCGCTGGGTATGGATGAGGCTCTGCTGGTTCTGCACGATGGCGGTGAGCTCCTTCAGGTAGAGCACGGCGCGCACCGGGTTCTCCAGCAGGCTCTCCATGCCCCGGCCGCTGGCGCGGGCCCCGCCGCC